AATAGTTAACTATTAAGGGTGTTTTACATCACTGTACTCTTATTTTTGTAGCGGAGTCTAAAAAACTGATTGTCACACTTCAAGAAGAATTAGACAAAATGTCTGAAGATAGTTTTTATCGACAGGAAGAGATGACCCATCGTTTGTGTCAGGTGGTGGAATTAAGAAAGGAAGTTCGTTCTGTAAGTTGTTTCTGATGTTATTTAGAAATGCATCTAATAATTTTCTAGCTGCTAAGAGCATACAACACTGTAGTTTTGTCTGACAGTTTGATACAAGTATAGTTAAAGAAGTAAACGTGTTTGAGTATTTAATATATCGTGTATTAAATGCAAAGTAATCTCGCACCTGCTTGATACATCTCAGAAAAGAGCTCCAAACATATGTTCACACATTACAAGTTGGATAAAGAACATAATCAGTAGTTGTAAGTGAACATACAGTAATACCAATACTAAGTGTATTGAACCTAGGAAGCATCACACTAACATATAGTAATACCAACACTAAGTATATTGAACCTAGGAAGCATCACACTAACATACAGTAATACCAACACTAAGTATATTTAACCTAGAAAGCATCACATTAACACATAGTAATACCAACACTAATTGTACTGAACCTAGAAAGCGTCAAACTAACATAGAGTAATACCAACACTAAATGTACTGAACCTAAGAAGCATTACACTAAGCAAACAGTACCTACATCCTGGTAGTTTCAGTAGTGTTTTTTTTTATAACAACCATCAGGATCAAAACCACTACTGCGATGAGCAGCTCGGGTCACCCATGTTTTAATGAAATCCAAATGTCAGTCGGTACTACAGATAGATCGAATTTTGAGTCAGATTAATAACAAGAGTTGTAAGTGTTACACTCGGTAGCGAAACAAACTCACTTTTGTCACATTGTGTATTCCATAATAATGTCTGCTGTGTGTGTTAAACAACTTTTTACAGTTACCAACTCCAGACATTCCATTTGGAGTTATCAGTAGGTTTACGAGATTCACATAATTTTATATCATCTATCGTATAATAAGTAATGGAGATGATGTATGATATCAGTGATTTATAAATTTCTCTACAGTTGATTACAGAAAATGAAGAACTACAGGCAAGTTTACAGACTTCAAAAGAAGACCATGCTGTGCTTCTGAGTGAAAGGACTGAGCTGAAAGAGAAGTATTCTGAACTTGTTGCTGCCTTTCACGAAGTTCAAGAAGAAAACAAAAAGATACATCGCTCTCACTTGCCAAGTGCCAAACGATGGAACTTTAACATGTACACTTCCTATCTAAATCCTGATTCTTTGGCCTCGGAACTGGATAGTTCTTTTGGTAGAGATAGTGAAGGTTATGGATCAGATGACAAGTTGTGAGTCCAGATCAATAAGATAAATGTCTTTACCTATCATATTTATTTTTATTACATCATTTATGAATAAGTCGTGCTAATTAATATTTATAATTTTGTGATAAAACCGATAAATGAAAAATAATTGATAGAGAGTCTATATATTCATCTATGCGTCAATATGACTGAACACAATTCTTTTGAAATATTTTTCATGAAATTGTAGTCCTTCGTGGTTTTATGTCAAGTTTGAAGTTTAGCGTTGATTTGGAAGTTTCAAATTCACTACATTCAAAAAGACATATTTGTTATGTTTTGTTAACATAATTACAGAAATTAATATTATTCTATAAATACTATGAAATGACGAGTAAAATCTACATTAAGTCTAATTAATTTTATACTATTATTTAATACACTAAATCAAAGTTTTAATGATTGGCTTAGACGATAAGCATAGTTAGGCTGTGTTATTAAAAAATGAAATCACGGTTAAGCCTAAAATAACTGGTATATTTGTATAAAACGAAATTTCAGTAAATTCAGTTAACTTATGATTTGATCTTTCTTTGTAAACTAGAAACGATAAAATCAGTACTTGCTTAAAACAGATAAGATTGTAATAAACTTAAAATGTAGGACAAACTTGTGGAAATTTATAGATGTTATATAATATTATATTTAGGATACATTGATGATTAATTTTACAAAATAAGTCATTCCTTTGTTTTATATAACTTTTGATACGATAGGAATACTTCATTATTATATGATTATCCATTATATTATACTTTCATAAATGTACGTATTTAATCGATTTTGCCATAAGCATTGTAATTTATTCGTTTTGTTTTTAGATTATTTTTTTTGTTTTATTTATTGGTCACTAAATTTTTAAATTACATCATTAATGAGAATTTATTAAGTTAGTTGCTGTATTAATATTTTTTATCAAGATTGAATGTATACTTGAAATTTATAAAATATTGTTTTGCTTTTTCTAAATATTTCTACAGGTCACACAGTAAACGTATAATTCAGACTGTAAGATATGCCAGAAAACCAAAGTCATCTCGTCCACGAAGTACAGTGCAGCACCAACTACAGTCTACCCCATGCCGACCACGAACAAGGTCATCCATGTCTCTAGGCTATTTATCTTCTTCTTCGTCTGGGTTTAATGACAGTTTTACATCCGATTCAGAATCTATATATGCAGAAAGCTCTCTTACCGATGATGAGAGTCATTATTCGTAAGTACACTTTACAAAAAAAAAAACTACTAATAAGTAACTAACGAAAGTAACTTAACCGTAAACGTTAACTTACTACCTTTTTCCGGTTTTTTGGGGTTT